TAATTTTCTGATACAGTTTATGTCACTAACCTGTATATATCACACTATATAAAATAAGTCAAAAGAATGCCTAATTTGGTAAACTCTAAATGTAAAGGTAAATTTCACAACATGACCTTTTAAAGCAAAGCTCCATGTCTTCAATATTTGAGACCAGAAAATTGCCACATCTAAGATTTTAGCTTTGAACTTGATCCCTTTTCTAATTTCTTCAGAGAAACCCTTACTCAACACTGAGTGGGCACTTACTCTGTGCCAGACCCTGGGTTAGCTCTGGAACAAACTAAAGCTTATACTTTGGCCTGGTCACACAACAGGATATTTAAGGAAAGAGATAATCCTAAAAATCACAAGGGACACTTGTAATAATTGTTACAGCTGAATGATGTTGGTCTGCCACTACTCTAGAAAGTTCAGTGAGTAAACCCTATGTTTAGATGGTGCTCTAAAGTGGGTTATGGAATTTATATCTTAAGACAACGTTTATGATAGATTCAGGGAGCCTGGTATTTGGACCCCCCCAAAATTATATATTTATTTTAACTAACCTCTGACAAATTCACCATTTCCTTCAACTATGAACATAACCACAACTGTAATAAAGACTTAGCAGAATAACAGACTTTGTACCAATATAAATAATAGATATATTTTTATATCATGTTATACTTATTACATGATCATTTAAAAATTATTATAGTTATAAGACCCACTGATGCAAACATTATATTAATAAAAAGCACGTAAGTGCTATATCACTTATGTACAAAACATAAAAATATTTTGATAACTATATTTCAACATAATGTTTTCCTTAAAATTCTATTTATTTTATTTTTTGCATATTAAAATATTATTCCAAAAAGGTAGTAGTCCACAAGATCTCACCATACTGCCAAAGGAGTTCATGACACAAAGAAATTAAAACTTCTGCCAAAAAATAAACAAATATAATCACTTCTAAGGTAATTCTCTGTAGATTTAAAAAACTACCTATTTTCTGTTAAGTTCTATACACTCATTTTTTTCTCTAATGTACAGCAAAGACCAAATGTCACTATTTTTAGCAGCTTTCGCTTTAAAACTGTTTTGCAAATAGTTGTGATTGTGACATAACAGCCTAGCAGATCCATGGGTTCCACTGGCTTTATTGGTAGTAATTCTAGTCCAAACATAGAAAGCTTCAAACTAATATAATGTTCAACTTTCAATGAGAGAGAGAGAGAGAGAGAGAGAGAGAGAGAGAGAGAGAGAGAGAGAGGTGACAGAAAAGACCAAAAAAAAAATAAACTTCAAACAATGTCTAAGTACCCATTTGACAGGGATATCGTGAAAAGGGCAGTTGAGGACTAGCAACAGAAAGGTTTAAGCTTAGGAAAGAGAAGGTGCCTTCTGAGCAGATAAGCAGGAGGGTTGAGCCCTAAACTCCTCACTCTCTCCTTTCTAAGTTACATTGTTTCTTTAATGTGGCTGATGTGATGATAAAGTAAAATATAAAAAAGCAGCCACAATCTCGAGCAAAACAGAACTCTCACAGTCATCACTGATAATTAGAAAATACTCTGACTTTGGGTTTCTCTAACTGAAAAAATTCCCTCCAAAATCATGGCTTTTTAGAAAAAATTTATCTTTCCAATCATTTTAGGGTTACACAAACATTGGTGTGACATATTTCTGTTTGATTCAGAAAGGTGATTATCTCTATCTGTAGAAAAACCAGATGACCTGGCTTCAGATCAGAGTTATGCAATAAATTATTATGCTTGCTTTTTCTATGAATATTTCATAAATTAATTATCACTGGGGGGGTAGGGGCTGGATGGAGTGGACTATAGGGGGTAAAATGGGAGACACTGTAATACTGTCAAAAATATATTTTTTTAAAAAAGAAAAGAAATACAGAAAAGAATAACAGAAAAAAAATAATTAATTCTCATCAGTGTTTATAACATGGAGAAGTTACTCAACTACCCAAGGGAATCATGAATGAGGTCTGGTGGTTTACAAACTCCATGAGACTACATACAGAATTTGGTGAGTGTGCACAGATTTCAGATTTTTTTTTTTTAAAGCCTACAGCACCCGGTATTCCCAGGTGGTCTCCCATCCAACTAATAACCAGGCCTGACCCTGCTTAGCTTCCGAGATCAGACGAGATTGGGCGCGTTCAGGGGGGTATGGCCGTAGACTCAGATTTCAGATTTTTAAAGGGCTGTTTAACCAGAAAAACCATTATCTCTGCCACAGTTAGGAAATATAAAACAAGAGAAAGCAATAATTCTTCCCACAGTCACAGAGTGACTCAATGTCACCAGATAGAGTAACTGGGGACTTCTGAATCCAAGGCTCTATATGACTAGATCCGTGGTCGGCAAACTGCGGCTCACGAGTCACATGTGGCTCTTTGGCCCCTTGAGTGTGGCTCTTCCTAAGCCTTAGGAGTACCCTAATTAAGTTAATAACAATGTACCTACCTATATAGTTTAAGTTTTAAAAAATTGGCTCTCAAAAGAAATTTCAATCGTTGTACTGTTGATATTTGGCTCTGTTGACTAATGAGTTTGCCGACCACTGGACTAGATCATTCTCCTCAAGGGATCAAATCTCCAAAGAGGAGGTCTCTAAGAAAAATGAAACCTCACCTATTTATGGAAGGAGAAATCATAAGCTGAAGAAGGAATAACATTAGATCTTTACCAAGCAGGCCGTTACACTGGTTTTCAAAGGGAATTTGCAAAGCAGCGTGGGTCAAAAAGCATAATCACATTCAGGAAACACAAACACCCCAGAGGCAGTGCTGCATTCTCCAAGCCTAAATGGTCAGCTACCTTGAAGCATATATTCTGTTCTAGAAAGAATTTCTTCAGTAGTTCCTTTTAGTTATGTAGAATGTAAGCCAAGTCAACATCTAATATTCTAGAAAAGGGTTTAACTATCCACTGTTTTCAAAGTTAAACAAAGGCTTCCCTCCCCATTCCCAACTCATTCCCATTCAAGAACCTTTCTGAGCTCTATCCCCTGTCACAAAGTGCAGAAGTGTGTGTATAGGAGGTGCTAAAATTACCTCACGCTTATTATATTAGATTGTTTTTAATTGGGTGGCACATCAGTAGCACCTTCTACAAAGGACTGTAAAAGAGGAGGAGGTGGTGTAACTCATTTTAGTTCATTTCATCTGCATCACCGACAGCCCTCATGAAAGGGAATCAGTAGGAAATGAAACCACAGCTAAACATCATTTGAATAACCCCCGGCATAGCAGCATTGCCAGTCTTGGCCTCCAGGGTCCAAATCCCCGAGCTGAAATGCTAACGACATTAAAGCCTCTCCCATGTGGCATTGGTCACCAGTGCAGACCTCCTCACACTCATCCTTTCTTCTCCAGGATGGTCGCCATCTGTTGGCCACTGATGACTGCACCCAATTCCATTCTCCACTGATGTCGTTTTACTAGCCATTGTCTGTGCGTGCAGAATCACTAAGAACCAAGACTGAAGAGGGCCCTGAAGGTTCTATGTCCTTGCTCCCATTTTATTCCTGGCAGAATGCCGTCTGTCTCTCTCCGCGATTCCCTCCTAAGCCTGGTTCCCACCTGTCCCAAGGCTCTCCCTTCCTCAGTGTCTAGTGCTGGCAGTTTTTCCAACTCTCCACCCCTCTACCCTCACTGCCTCTGTAGCTGTCACGGTCCCTATTGCAATAGGCAAGTTCCGGCTCTCACCACTGAGCTCCTCAGTTTCAATCCTCAGTCCTAACTAGTCACCTCAGTTACATCTGGGGAGCCTTCTCCAGGTCAGTCCGCCTCCCAGAGCCTGTGCCTCGAGGATAGAGCCCCTCTTCCCAGCTGCATCTCTGTCCTTGCAAACAACCCTAGCACCAAGGCCTCTCAGACCTGAAAGAAAGCTCAGAAACAATGTTGCCCAATGTTTCCGGGCTTTTTTACTACGTTTTATTTCACATACTTGAAGGTATACGAAATCCATTTTCCATCACCATCTCATCTATCTATCTATTTAGCTCTCACTGGCACCAATCGCATGCATGTGTTTTGATCTGTCATTGTCGATGGTGAATTTGGTTGATACTTCTGCTGTAGAGAAAGGGCAGGTAGCGACATTAAAATATTTCTTTCGATTAATTTCCTTTCAATGTGCACGAATCCGTGCACCAGGCCACTAGTATACACAGAACTGAAACGCCTTGCATGCAATACTTACCCTTCTTTGTGAGCACAGTGAGCATTTCTATTCTATTCTATTTTTTAAAATCCAGGTGCCCTCCACTAAACGGATGGCACAATTCAATAGCAGGATGGTACCCCCCCCCCCCTCCCTCCAGGAAGCATTCCCCGGGTCAGCCTGCGCGTGCACGGAGGGAGACACTCGCTGTCCCTCCAGCCACCGAGAGGGCTCGGTGCGGAGCGCGTGCCCAGCCTCGAGCTGGTCCGCAGGGTTACACCCGGGGCGGCGGCCCGTCCCTGACCGGTGTCCTCTCCACCGGAGCCTTCCTCTGCCCAGTCACGGCCACGCGCGCACAGCCCTACAGTGCCACCGGCTCGTCAGCGGTCCCCCTCTCCTCCCTGTCGGCCCCCCAAAGTTACTGCTCCCCGGCCCGTCTCCCCCCGCAGCCGCTGCTTCGGGCTCCCTTCAAAGTGCCCTCCCGGCCCCCCTCCACCGACCGGTCTCCTCCGAATGGCCGGCCCCTGCTCCAGCCCCCACGCAGCCCCCGCCGCACACGGGGTCACAGTCCCCTCGCCACCTCCCGTCCTGCTCGCTGGGGTCGGGGCCCCTGCGCATCCCCTGCTCCTGGGCCGCAGCCCCTCGCGAGCGGCTCCTCACGGCCACGGTGCCCGCGCTGTCATTGCCCGGGTCGCCGCAGCCCCGCAGCCCCTGCCGCACGCTCCCCTCCTGTCACCGACCCACTCTCCTCCGCCCTCGCGGCCCCGGCCCTACGGGCTCGCCCCCAAACGGAGCCGCACGGAGAGGCGCGCGCCGGGCCCCCACCTGCAGCTCGCGGCCCCTCGGCCCCTGTCCCGGCGGGTTTCTCCCGGGCGCAGCGTCACGGACGAGGAAAGCTGAGTAGGTGGTGGGGAGACGCCCGGGAAAGGCACCTGACGGAACAGCCGGCCGGAAATCCCGCCCCCTGCCCGCCCTCTGTCAATCCGAGCACCACTTTTCCCTGAAAAACCCGGCCCCTGACGCAGTAGTTCCGCCTCCAAGGAGGCCCCCGGACTGAGTGCCCGACGGGAAGCGCCAGGCCGGCGGGGAGGCGGCCGAGGGTCAGGGCCGGCGCGGCGCTGCGGGAGGCGCGGGCCTCCTGTCCCGAGACACGATGGGGGCCGTCCGTCAGGGAGCAGCGCCCGCCCCGCAGCCCGAGCTCCCCGCGGCGGACCGTCCAGATCCTCCCCTGTCCCAGCGCCGGGCGCCGCACACTCGCCCCAGGCGCTCACCGGGCAGACGGCCCTGACGCCTTCCGCCGCAGCCCCGCCGGCCCGCCCGCTTCCCCGCCGCCTGCGGTTCCCTCCCGGGCGCTGCGGGGACGGAGGTCCGCCCGCCAGGTCCTGTAAACGCCTGCGGCTGGCTCCAAACCCTCCCGACAGCAAGAACCTCGCATCACGGAGACGCCCAGTCCTGTTACTTCCGACCCAGGTTGGCGCCCCCCAAAAAGACCCGTAGGGATCAGCCGAGGGCTAGTTGGGGAGCGTGTGGAAAAGGGGGTCTTATGGACAAGAACCTCACAGCGCGATTGATCTGTTCATACATTCCCGAGCAGGTCATGGGGGCAGCCATCCCCAGGCACGGAACGCTTTTAGTCAAAGGCTTATTTTTGCCGTAGGGAGCCCTGTCCCTCGTTTCTGTGCATCTAAGGTTAGCACACCGCCGACCCCTACTGACGTGGCCACCCCCAGGGGTTTGTCCTGTAATTCGACCCCCAGCTGGCTTTCTCCCACCTTCACGTGCTCTTCCTTCTGTTCCCTCCCTAATCTCAAATGCAGAAAAGCTGCAAACTGTTACTGTGAGTAGCAGTTGAGATCTTGCTTCCCAACATATGCTGTAGGTTTAGCTCAAATAAACTCATAAAAATTCTCTCCTGGTTTGGATTGACTGGTTTGGTCAATAAGCAGATTGGAGGGGGACCCCTGGTAGAAAACCACACTGCAGGCTGTTCTTTGCCAGAATGAACCTCGGACTGGGGTCCCTTTAGATTCTATAGATGTAAGGCAAGTAGATACCCAATGTTAGGGGGGGAATATATAAAACAACTTTTATTACAGTTTATTCGTTTTTATTTTCGTCTACATGCTTGAAAGTGGCTAAGAAGAAAGAGGTGGGTAAACTTCCGCATCTGCTGAGAAGCCTCCAGGGAGAAAAAGGGTTTAAATTGCGACCCTTGCCCTAACCGGTTTGGCTCAGTGGATAGAGCGTCGGCCTGGCCTGCGGACTGAAGGGTCTCGGGTTCGATTCTGGTCAAGGGCATGTACCTTGGTTGCGGGCACATCCCCAGTAGGGGGGGTGCAGGAGGCAGCTGATGGATGTTTCTCTCTCATCGATGTTTCTAACTCTCTATTCCTCTCCCTTCCTCTCTGTAAAAAATCAATAAAATATATTTAAAAAAAAATAAATTGCAATCCTTTCTCTTTTGAGTTTCAAACAGTTATTTGAACAAGGCTCTGTTAAACAAACACTTAACTCTCACAGATGAAAGTTGGTTTGTTTGTTGTTGTTTTTTGAAAAAGGCTTTATTTAGCCAAAAAGAAGACCAGTCTTGGTGCATGAAATCCAAACCACCAGCAGCAGACATTTCTGTCATCCTGGAGTTTGCAATCATTTTTGTATTTTATTCTGTTTTTATTGATTTCAGAGAGAGTGAGAGAGAGAGGGAGAGAAACATCAATGAGAGGGAAACATTGATCATCTGCCTCCTGCACACCCCCTACCGGGGATCAAGCCTGAAAGCCCTTGCATGGGCCCTGACTGGGAATCGAACTATGACCTCCTGGTTCATGGGTCGACGCTCAACCACTGAACCACATGGGCCAGGCTGCCATTTTTTATTCACCAACTGGGGAGTGGAGGCGTGGGAGGAAGATGTAAGCTGTCTGAAAGCCTTTGCATTAGCTATAGGCAGCGGGGGTGGGAGAAGGTGAGGTAGCGCCAGCCCTGGGGTAGGCGCAGAGCCCACAAGGAAGAAGCGTCCGCTCCTTTGGACTAGGGGGCAACAGTCCAGAAAGTTCATGCATAAACAGAAGTGGAGGCTCCTGGAGTTGGAAGGCTCATTATTTGGAATAATTGCAGAAGTAATCACCTGGAAATTACTCTGAAGTTCCAACAGACATATGAATATGAGCAGACTTTTGTTAGCTACTAACAGGCTAACTGTTCTGTCTCGCACAATCTGGCTGCTATAATTTAATTTAGAATACCTCAGAATTTCCTCCTTGACAGCTCATAGACTACAGTGGTCCAAATAAGGACAGCTAGCTGGAGAAGACACTCAGGGCTCTGCGGAGAAGATCACTACAAAGATAATGGAAGTTGGAATAGTAACCAACATAATTTTGGAGAGTCTCTAGGGACCCAGACTCAAACGGGAGAAGCGGGACTGTCTGGCATCGGTCGGAACGCGAGGGCAGCTTTCTCTCTGAGGTTTGCAGCAGTTGCTGGGACTCTGAGAGGCAGAGCCTCTGGGGACGGGACTGAGCGCAGCCATAACTGCTCCCTCCGCCCGCCCTGTTGATCCTGTGTGACCTGCCCCGCCCAAGCCCTGCACAGAGCCATTTGCCGGATAGCCTCAGGCAAAGGCTAGATTAGCACCTCCCCAGAGGACAGAAGTTTTCCCACTGCAGATACAGCTGACTCTCACAGCCAGTTGCCCTGGAGGTCAAATCCCCACAGTATTAACTACAACAATCAAGGCTTAACTACAACAAGACTGTGCACAAAGACCACTAGGGAGTGCACCAAGAAAGCATAAAAAATGCGGAGACAAAGAAACAGGACAAAATTGTCAATGGAAGATATAGAGTTCAGAACCACACTTTTAAGGTCTCTCAAGAACTGTCTAGAAGCCGCCGATAAACTTAATGAGATCTACAAGAAATCTAATGAGACCTCAATGTTATGATAAAGAACCAACTAGAAATTAAGCATACACTGACTGAAATAAAGAATACTATACAGACTCCCAACAGCAGACCAGAGGACCGCAAGAATCAAGTCAAAGATTTGAAATGCGAAGAAGCAAAAAACACCCAACCGGAAAAGCAAAATGAAAAAAGAATACGAAAATACGAAGATAGTGTAAGGAGCCTCTGGGACAGCTTCAAGCGTACCAACATCAGAATTATAGGGGTGCCAGAAGAAGAGAGAGAGCAAGATATTGAAAACCTATTTGAAGAAATAATGACAGAAAACTTCACCTACCTGGTGAAAGAAATAGACTTACAAGTCCAGGAAGCGCAGAGAACCCCAAACAAAAGGAACCCAAAGAGGACCACACCAAGACACATCATAATTAAAATGCCAAGAGCAAAAGACAAAGAGAGTATCTTAAAAGCAGCAAGAGAAAGAAACTCAGTTACCTACAAGGGAATACCCATACGACTGTCAGCTGATTTCTCAACAGAAACTTTGCAGGCCAGAGGGAGTGGCAAGAAATATTCAAAGTGATGAATGCCAAGAACCTACAACCAAGATTACTTTATCCAGCAAAGCTATCATTCAGAACTGAAGGTCAGGTAAAGAGCTTCACAGATAAGGAAAAGCTAAAGGAGTTCACCACCACCAAACCAGGATTATATGAAATGCTGAAAGGTATCCTTTTAAGAAGAGGAAGAAGAAGAAAAAGGTAAAAATACAAATTATGAACAACAAATATGCATCTATCGACAAGTGAATCTAAGAATCAAGTGAATAAATAATCTGATGAACAGAATGAACTGTTGATTATAATAGAATCAGGGACATAGAAAGGGAATGGACTGACTATTCTTGGGGGGGAAAGGGGTGTGGGAGATGCGGGAAGAGACTGGACAAAAATCGTGCACCTATGGATGAGGACAGTGGGTGGGGAGTGAGGGTGGAGGGTGGGGTGGGAACTGGAAGGAGGGGAGTTATGGGGGGGGGGGGAAAGAGGAACAAATGTAATAATCTGAACAATAAAGATTTAATTTTAAAAAAAGTTAATAACAATGTACCTACCTATATAGTTTAAGTTTAAAAAATTTGGCTCTCAAAAGAAATTTCAATCGTACTGTTGATATTTGGCTCTGTTGACTAATAAGTTTGCCGACCACTGGTATAACCTAATGGAATAAATGCAACTATTATGCTTATGAAAATCATAATGCAAATAAAATGACAAAAACTACATGTGATATTATGAGAAGTGAAAAATCCGGTTACAGACACAGAACCTAGAGACAGAACCTAGAGACAGAACCTGGCTGAAGAACCTAGAGACAGAACCTGGCTACAGAACCTGGATAGAACATGGCAAGAGTACCTGACTAGAACCTAGCGACCGAAACTGGCTGGAGAACCTGGAGAACCTAGCGAGAGAACATGGCTACAGAACTTCGCTGGAGATCCTGACCAGAACTTGGCTGGAGATCCTAACCAGAACTTCGCTGGAGATCCTGGCTAGGCTGCTGATCAACTGAACGCTGTCTCCATGTCATTCCTTCTTCGCCAACTCCGTCCACACCTTTGGGGACCCCTGGACCTGCTGGGGCTGGACCCCAGCACCCAATCACCATTTAACTATGTAATAAGCATTGAACTCTGAGCTTCATCACATTAAAAATAACAGAAATGTCAAAAAAAAAAAAAAGAAAAGAAAAATCCGGTTACAAAACTATGATTTTTTTAAAAAACACCAAATAAAAAAACACTGGTAGAAAATTTACCAAATATTAATAGTTATGTAGAACAATTTAATTATGGATTTCCCCCCCTACATTTTCTCTACTTTACAAATGTAGTTAGAACACATTACAAAATCAAAACATTAACTGTAAGTCCTAAAACTCAACAGACTCAGTTGCCAAACTGCCAAGTTATCTTTATTTTGTCAAGATATTTAACAATATAAAAAAGTTCATTATTTCTTCATAGTCATACCTTTTCCCAGCTTTCAAATTTTCAATAGTAGAAACAGCCAAATGCTGCTACAACACAGAACAAACTGTCCTACAAAACAAAACAGAAAACACACACACAAACCCAGAATGTTAGGATGAGTAAAGAGTTAGGTTTTCTGAATGTAGAAATAAAATAAAAATGAACGAACTTTATGTAATACATATTCATAAAATAAGTATTCCCAATTTTTTCTGATTTATCAAAGAAATAATATATGAAATTATTTTAACTTCTTGGAGTAAATGTATTACCCATCTCAAAGAACTATATTATAGTATCACACATAATACAAATAACAGCTCTGTGTCATAAATCCTGGATAAGGGTAAATGGCCTCTGGTGTTTGTTCTTAATTTAGAAAATTCATTTGTCCATCTTTTTGCTCAGAATCCTAAAATGCTTTCCAGATCCCAGTTAAACTTTTTAAGACACTTTTTAGGTATTTCTTATAGGAACTCCACCTGCCTCAGCAACTCCTGACCTACCAACCTCACCTATAGCTTGGCAGTGATGAGAAAAAATCTGCTCAAGTACCTGATTGTTAACCAAAAGCAAAATCCTTTGGTTAGCCCAGCTCCCTGGCTCCCGGGGTGAGATGACTGTGAGGTGAGTGCTATCTGAGGTGAGGGACCTGTTTTTGTTTTTGTTCTAATTTTCAATCCCTCATGCACTGATACTTTTGTAAAATACAATAAAAATGAATAATGAGGAAAACAAAATGAAAAAAGAAATATACAAATACAGCCTAAAAGTTTTATTATTAGATTTAATGGACATAAAATTACTTTGTCAAATTCTTATAAGAGTTTCTAAACCCTTACACTCAGTTTTTATACTGATCTCGTAACGGGGCTCATGGCCCCGGTCTGTGGCTCCCAGGTTGCCTGGCGCTGTTCCACAGTGTCAGCCAGAGTTCTCCAGCAGGACTGAGCCGGGCTATCCACTCTGCGGGGCAACTGTCAGCTCAAAAGCATATGCTTTTCTCGACTCTCACTTCCTCATCCTCTACTGGTGCTTCCCAAACAATAGAGTGCTTTAAGCTCTGAAAGTGACACCTAACACTCAACCAACTGGACTAAAGATACATACAGTACACGAACTCAGCAACCTGAACCGGCTCTCAAAAATGATTGTTAGACACCGCGCCCTCCAACCCTGTGCTCTAAAATCTGATCCTGGAAATATTGATAACTAAAGTTTTATACTACATATTTGTTCATTTGAATATTGTCTGGCCACCACTGTTTATAGCTCTCTATAGGCAATAACCATGCCTTTTATTCCTAGCACCTCCAGTACAGTGATTGGCACATAATATAGAAGCTCAGAGTTATCTTTTGGATGAATGAATTACATTGTATAGCGACTCAGGGAAATATAAATGTTTAACTCCAAAAAGCAGGAAAAACCATCACCTGAACTTGAAATCTTCCCCCAGAGAGCTGATAATTGAAGATTTACATAATACTTCCCATTGTTCAGCCCTTGATCCCTACGGTAGTTGAGCATAATATGAAACTTTGGTAGGACCATAGCGTTTCAGAGCTAAAAGGTACCTTAAGATCTACTACTACACAAGCAGCTTCCAAATCTGGCAGTAAGCACAACCATGTGAGGAACTTCTTTAAAAAAATCCTTACCAAAGGACATGTTAATTGATTTTAGAGATTTTTTTTAATCCTCACCTGAGGCCATGCTATGGATTTGAGAGAGAAAGAGAGGAAGGGAGAGAGAGAGAGACACATCAATCAATGTAACAGAAACATTGATCCATTGCCTCCTAAATGCGCCTCGACCGGAGATCGAATCAGCTGAGCTACCTGGCCAGGGCAATGTGGGGAACTTTTTAAAAATTCAGATTCACTGATCCAACCCCCAGCTTATGTGATTAGAATCTACTTGAGCAGGACCCCAGCATCTGTATGTTAAACAAGTTCCTCAAATAATTCTTAGGCAAGCCACAGCCAGTCTTTGGGAAAATCTAGAATAGTTTCCTAATGTTACTAACAATCAGATAAAAGTCCAATGACTTACCTAAAGTCATTCAAGTAGAAAGTCACAGAGCTGGAAATGGAATCTCTTTCCTAATTTACTCAACCCAGTTTCTGTTCTACACTATTATACTTAATTCTGACTCTACGAATTCACAACCTGGGAGCATGTGGACAGAGGAAGCAAGTATAAAACATATTATTAAAATTTATGAAACACTCATGCCAATGTTTAAATAAAAACTCTTTTGAAAAATTCCTCTTTATTTTTGCCTAGTTTTGAGAAATAGCTTTAAGATAAAGTAATTGTTTTGATTAGTGAAAGAAAAATCACCTTTGCTCATGGAATCCCTGACATCCAAATTTCTTTGCAGCTTAGCAAAGTACTATTTGGCTATTAGCACTGAACATATGCTATTCCCAAATTCAAACTTGTGAAGAGTTATGTTATCTGTACACATATAGGTCTCCTTGCCTATAAATAGCACACTAGGTTTCTGTTTTATGTTTAGTAACACACAAAAAGAACAGTAAAGACATCTCATCCAGGAGCCTGAGACAAATGTCTAAAACGAAAGTGTGCTCACATCTCAATAAATATTAAGTAATTTCCTCTGGAATGCCCCCATGTCCTTTGAAAGAAAGAAAAAGTTCCCAAATAGACTTACATTCATAAAAACATCATGAATGTAGTTGTCAGTGTCAGCATCCCAGAAACAGCGGGCAGCCATGCTAAAAAGTCAAAGATTGGAGAATTACCAACAATATAACAATATAACAAGGACCTGAAACATATATCTGCCAGCAGCAAAAGTTTTCCTTGATACATTCTTTTAGATCAGTACTTCCAAACCTTTTTTTAGGCTGGCACACAGGAAAGCATATTTGTACAGCAGAGTAAACTAAAGGGCCTGGGCTCATAGACAAGGTTGCTTGCAGTTGGAGGTGACCAGCCCAGGGGTCTAGCAGCTTCAGACTCCAACTAGCTGCCTAATAACTAAAGGGGTCACTACCTTGAAGTTTCAAAAACTCTGTTACATAGATTACTTCAGCTAAGATATTTGTGTGTATGTGACTTTTAAAGAAAATAACACCTGCCCTAACCGGTTTGGCTCAGTGGATAGAGTGTCTGCCTGTGGACTGAAGGGTCCCAGGTTCGACTCCGGTCAATCGCATGTACCTTGGTTGCGGGCACATCCCCGGTAGGGAGTGTGCAGGAGACAGCTGATCAATGTTTCTCTCTCATAGATGTTTCTAACTCTCTATCCCTCTCCCTTCCTCTCTGTAAAAAATCAATAACATATATTTTTTTAAAAATAATAACACCTAAGAATTATGACTAAAATAGACTTATTCCTTTACAATAACATGAGAAGGTAAGTCTGGAAAGGATCTAACAGAGTGTTTATTCCAACCTAGAAAAGAAAGGGGCAAACTATGAACTAGAATTCAATCTTCTAACTAATTCTACATCCAGTATTACCTATGCTACCTTTAAATTCTCAATTTGGCCATTCTCTCCAACTTTGGGGTAAGGAAAAAAAATGTCAGTCAAAATAAAAACCAATAAAAAATGAAAACAATTTAAGTTCCCAGTAGTATTAGATTGGTAAATGAAATTAGGGTATTTCTTGGCGACAAAATTGCATGCAGCCATTAAATATATGTTTTGATGCCTTGGCCGGTATTGGTAAGTGGTTAGAGCATCAGCTCCCAGTTTCAATTCCCGCCCTGGATTGATGTTTCTCTCTCTCCCACTCCCTCCCTTCCTTCATTCTTTCTGAAAAGCAAATGGAAAAAAATATCCTCAGGTGAGGATTTAAAAAAAGATATTTTTTTACAAAGTAACTTCGAGAACATGAAAAGATGTTCACAATATAAAATTAAGTTTAAAAATTAATTATAAGTATTTTACATTTTTATTAAATGTATATGAATGACTCACCAATAACATCAATTTTGACTGCTTACTTTGTGCCAGCCTCTGGTCTAAGTGCTTTACATGTATTAACTCAATCTTATGAGTTAGGTATTATTATTATACCTATTTAATAAACATGAGAACTGAGGATCAGAGAAATTAAATAATCTTGTCCAAGATCATTCAAATAGTAAGTGACAAAGCTTCACTTTGGACCGAGGCAATTTAGCTTCAAGTCTGTAGTGAAAAATATACTGTATTGCCAAAGCCGGTTTGGCTCAGCGGATAGAGCGTTGGCCTGCGGACTGAAGGGTCCCAGGTTCGATTCCGGTCAAGGGCATGTACCTGGGTTGCGGGCACTTCCCAGTGGGGGATGTGCGGGAGGCAGCTGATCGATGTTTCTCTCTCATCGATGTTTCTAACTCTATCTCTCTCCCTTCCTCTCTGTAAAAAATCAATAAAATATATTTTAAAAAAAAAGAAAAAGAAAAATATACTGTATTATATCGGTTTGTTTTTGAAAGTTTTTTTTTTAAGTTTTACACAGAAGAGCTCCCCCTAACCTAATATTTTTCACATTTAAAAAGTTCTGAGTCCAAGCTCCAAAAGTAACAATATGAAATAAAGTCAATCTACTTAATTGGCCAATCAAGTATTTATTTAGCAACTACCATATGTTTGGAAAGAGAAAAATCTAGCTCTATCCTCAATTCTCAACTTAATTAGGTGAAAAAATTAACACACATCAAAGAATAAGATAATGAATAATTGTGCTAACTTATAGGTTATTATGTTTAAAAGGGACTGTAATATCTATCTAGTTCAAGCCTCCAAGCCCAAGTTGCACAGTATTTGAATTAAATCTGTAGTAGTGCTACAGAAATTTAGAGAATTTAGAGAAGAGAAAAACCAAAGAAGACTTCATGAAGCAGAAACAAGTGAAGACATAAATATAAAAATTTAGCCCTGGCTGGTGTGGGTGTTGGTTGGGCATTGTCCCATGCATGGAAAGGTTGCCAGTTCAATTCCCAGTCAGGGCACATGCCCAGGTTGTGCGCTCGATCCCCGATAGGGGGCATGCAGGAAGTGGCCAGTCAACGTGTGGCTCTCACATCTCTCACATCGATGTTTCTCTCTCTCCCTCTCCCTTCCTCTCTCTCTGAAAATCAATTTTTTAAAATTAACAAATATTTGTTGAGTATCATGTATGAACAAAGTGCTAGGTGCAAATGATACAGAGATGCATAAAACACAATCATTGCCTCCAAATTGTGGACTCAACACCATTTCCCAATAATGGCGTGTGTGGAAGGCAACCAATCAATCGATGTGTCTCTCTTACATCAATGTTTCTCTCTGTCTCTCCCCTTCCCTTCCACTCTCTCTAAAAACCAATGGAGAAAATATCCTCGGGTAAGGACTGACAACAATAACAAAAAGATAAATCTGAAATATCTGGGTCATACCAAAACCCTGAAGTATAGAAAAAAGAAAAAAAAAAAAAAAATATATATATATATATATATATATATTCATAAAGTTGTGTCAAAAGGATTTAGAAATAATACAATGTAACAGTTTGTAGCAGCTCAGCACTCCCTCCCAGATCAATTAGAAAAACTGGATAAAATGAATCAGAGCTGCTGTAGCAAACAGGACTGGGGAAGCCAAAATTCCACAGAGGTGACCCGCTGAGGCAGCGGTAAACTGATATGCTGCACTGGAGTTCTCCCTGGGGCATTTGCTAACTCTAGGCACACAGCTAGAGGCTGAGAATATGGGTTTTGTCCAGGTACAGACCAACTACTCAGCTGGACTAGAGCGATAAAATTACAGGGCTAGAGAGATAAAATTGGAGACCTGAAGGACCAAGATCCCCTGTAAAAAAGGAGAGAGCAGAACCAAGCTTTAACATCACATGGTAGGTTCCCCCTCACATGTGCTGAATTCTAAAACTGTGTAAGTAGGACCTAAAAAACTAAGAGTGGTGGGAACAATAATATCCTCTCACCAAATAGGTCTATGACCTAACTCCCAGAACCTAGGGGTATGTTCTAGTACATGGCTAAAAGGGTTTTACATGTATACGATTAAGCTAAGGATCTTGGATGGGGAGAGTAGCATGGATTACCCAGGTGAGCTCAATGTTATCACAGGGTCCTTATAAGAGAAAGAGGGAGGCAGGTGGGTCAGAGCCAGAGAGAGATTTGAGAATGGTATGCCGCTGGTTTTGCAGAGGGAGGAAAGGTTGATGAGCTAAGGGATGCAGGCAGCCTCTATAAGCTGGAATAGGCAAGAGAATGGATTCTCTGCTCGAGCCTCCAGAGGGATACAGCCCTGCCGACCCTTTGATTTTAGCTCAGCGAAACCCATTTTGATTTATGATCTCCAGAACTGTAAAATAATATATATGTGCTGTCTTAAGATACCAGGTTTGTAATTTGTTACAGCAGCAATAGGAAACTAATGCATCAAGGAAAAGGGCTCTAAAATGAAGAGTAGTTTTATGCTGAGAAAACAAGCACTAAAAGTCAGTACTTGCTGGAGTGGGGTTCAAATGAATGCTTCAGGCTCTTGGTTGAGAAACCTGGAGAGCGACACTCAAGAAAGAAGGATGCTTAATTCCCACAATATCCTTGTGAAGAGGGCATTATCTGTTTCGCAGATGAGAAAACAAACCCAAAGAAGTTAGAGAACTACCCAGTGGACAAGCCCTACCTTGTATAATGGTTGCGAGGACTGAATAGGATGACATTGCTAAGGGCTTATTCCAGTGCAAGTCACAGAGGAGATGGTGGTAATAATAGCAGAATAGCAATAATAGCAGAAGATGTAACAGCCGTGACACCCTTGTCCTACTGAGGTTGCTTGGCTATCATATGAGTGTCAGTGACGAGGCCAGCTACACAGTTTGCAGGACCCAGTACAAAATGAAATTGTGGGGTCTGGCCAGAGGCAGGGAAGGAGAAAAAGAATAAGAAGAAAGAAGAACTGAAGATAGAGCTTTATCAAAACTGCAACAAAACCTCAACTCAGCTCAGTACCTGACTGGATTAAGGTAAGCAGCCCATACTCTACCTGAATCGCAAAGGAAATGTAAACCCTCTCTAAAAGAAAACAATATTATCTGGAGGTCTGCAAGTTGTTGTTTTTTAACACAATGTCCAGGATTCAAACTAGGCATGCCAAGAGATAGAGCCATATGAAGGATTATCAAGAAAAAAAATCAATGGAAACAGACTCACACCTGACCCATGTATTAGAGTTAGCAGAAAATGACTGCTATGACCAAAATGTAAAAAGGGAGGAGAGAAGAAGGATAGATAACATATATTAAAGATAAAGAATTTCACCAAAAAACTGGAATGTATAAAATATTTAAATGGAAATTCTGGGCCTGAAAAATATAATAACTGAAATTAAGAATTCAGTAGGTGGCTTTAACAGCAGATTAGACACAACAGAAAAGAAGATTAGTCAACTAAAAGACAAGTCAATAGAAAAATATCCAACCCTGGCTGGTTTGGCTCAATGGATAGAGTGTCAGCCTGCGGAACAAAGGGTCCCGGTTTTGATTCTGGTCAAGGGCACATGCCCGGGGTTGCGGGCTCAATCCCTGGGGAGGGGGAAGGGGAGGCATGCAGGAGGCAGCTAATCAATGATTCTCTCTCATCATTGATGTTTCTATCCTTCTCTCCATTTCCCTTCTTCTTTCTGAAATCAATAAAAACAATTTTAAGCCGAAACCGGTTTGGCTCAGTGGATGGAGCGTCGGCCTGCAGACTGAAGGGTCCCAGGTTCGATTCCGGTC